AGTATTTGAAAAATAATGTGTTTTTTGAACATTAAAGCATGCCAACATATTCTGTTACACCAAATACACAAAATAATGATCTTTTAAAAAGCATCATATGACCCCTTTAAAGTCCCCCTGTGGTGAAAATCAAGTTTTTTATGTTGTTTATTTGTCTATGTGGTGTTTTTAATATGCTTTTAGATAAACCATGTGCCAATTTATTTATCAACACCATTGCTGAGTATTTTCTTCTTAAAACTGTAGTTTGCCAAAGGCAGTCACAGAAACGCGGTTTGAAACAGGCTATTTTTTTTGCTACGTCACAAAACTCAATAACCAATCTGTTCAAGGGATCCTATCCTTAGCATATCATTAACTGTGCTGCAAAGCAGAGGGTCTAGTGCAGGTGTGCCCAAACTCGGTCCTGGAGGGCCGGTGTCCTGCAGAGTTTAGCTCCAGCTTGCCTCAACACACCTGCTTGGAAGTTTCTAGTATGCCTAGTAAGACCTTGATTAGCTGCTTCAGGTGTGTTTGATTAGGGTTGGAGCTAAACTCTGCAGGACACCGGCCCTCCAGGACCGAGTGTGGACACCCTTGGTCTAGTGAGAAGGCAGCCAGGTTAATCCGGTAACAATTATATTTTTTTCTGTAGATGTTTCGTTAACTGTTAATATTTCCCCCTATTTTTACGATGTCATGTGCTGTTAGCGCTTATTTATAACCGCTAACTTGAATAATAACCTGCGGCAGCAATGTAAAAGTAGGCCAGAGTCAGACGCACTTCTCCCGCATTGACATCCGCAGGTCACACGCGTTATGATCGCGGGCGCGATTTGGAATCACAAACTTGGCTGCATTTGAGTCTTCAAGGCATTTTGAGTACACAACATCTTCAAGTAAGTAAATTTAACGTATGTTACAGTATCCACTGTAGTTGTCCGCTAGTAAAAACAGTTTTATCAGTCATTATCCGTGTACGAACCAGCGCAAACAGATAATGTTACCTCACGAAGTTAGCCATCAGTCTTCTTGCTTACGTTGAGCATACCAGCTTATTTCTGGTTCAAACACATGGTTTAATTAAACTAATATTTCCACTTGCCATTGCCATTGTATCACGTTTACGACAGTTCAGTTAGTGGATCAGTAGGGATGGGCGTATCGATCCGAAGTATCGATATATCGATACTGATGCGAGTATCGAAAAAATATCGATACTAAGGTGTTTTTTATTTACCAGTGATTTTGTTTATTTAACAAAAAAATAATAATGCGTACAATATGCATTGAATTGGACGAATAACCTTTGTTAGCGAGTAATTGTGTAGGATAGAACTATTTTCCTGCTCATCTGAACACACGCACATGTTGCAAGACAGAACCAATCAATCACAGAGAGCATTCACTCACTGCTGACAGTGCATTCAAACAGGGCTGCGTTTCCCAAAAGTATCATAAGAAAGCATTAAAGCTTTTGGGAATGG